CCCCAAAACCCCAAAACCCCAAAACCCCAATCTTAACAAAACTAGTTGAATTCAACTTCACCATACATTAACAGGTGGCAATCCCCAGTGTTTTAGACAAATATCTAGCAGCATGTTTAGGCAGATACCTCTTACATGTAGAGGATGATTACAGAGAACAAATTTATGTGAGAGATGTAGTTTAATAATGTAGACAATGAAATTATGAAGCCTGATGTTTATGCCAGTACTTGAGAAAGTATCATAAGTTATGGAAGGAATGTAGATAAGTATTTATGAATTTATGGTTAGCCAAACTTGGTTATTTAAAACTTCATGGAGATCTAGTAATCATTCTCATCTTTTATTGTAGCGAACTTTGAAGCCATCATATCTGTCATTCTGTTACCCAACTTTATTTTAGCAAATCTATAAATAAAAATCATTGATATTACCTATCATAAACAGCTCTATCCTTCTTTTTGGGAATATTTTCTTTATTAAGAACTTTTGTGAGTACATTCTTGGGTGTGAACTTAGCATTAATTTCTTCTCTTTGCTTTTCCTAAACCAAATATTCAAATCAATCTACCTTCACAACTTGCTCATTGGTTCCCTTGAGTAGCCTTCCCTGAGTCTTGAGCCCAGGGTTATCAAGATATTCAGCATCTTGGTATTCTTCATCAAGTTCAGCAACCTGGTTCTTATTTAATCTCATGGCTTCCAGAAGCATTTTTCTTACATAATCAATTCTTCTGCTGAAACTAGGATGCGAAAGCTTCAAATATTTCTCCTTCGTCATATTTTTCACAATTATCTCTTGATCTGAAGATTTAAAACAAGCCATTGGAGAATTCGAGCGAATGAAAATTTGTGAGCCATCCAAGAAATTAGCTTGGAATATCTTGTTTGAGATTCTGAACAGAATTCACTTCTTGTCCCATTTCCATCTTTGGAGATAAACTGCATCTACAGAGGAGATCCAACCTTTGGGTAAGGAAGAGCTTGCTCTTTGGTATCCTCTCTCTATCCACTGTGTTTTAGCTATAACTAAATCATCAAAAACTTACCATTCCAAGGAATTGGGATAATTTCAGGGTCATCGTCTTTCTCAAAATACTCTTTAATTGCCATTATCCACTTATATTTCGTGTCCTTCGGGTAGTCCTGAATAGTGTACTCTGACCTCATCTCAGTGTCACCTTCTGTCCAGATATATATCAAGGTTTCCTTGTAATTGATAAGAGAAGTGTTATCATTAAACAAAACTCCAATTCATCCATTACTAAGCTTATACCCAAACCCATACTGTTGAGAGTCATCCACCCATTTTAGGATATAAGCCTCTCTATCTGCTGGGATTGATGATCGACTGGGAGATCGCTTTGGAGAAGTCTGAGTTTGCCTATGAGGAGAGCCACACTTTAGCTTCTTGGATGGTTTACCCACAGATGCAATATGAGAATCTCATTTACTCCCTTGTGTATTATGAAGTTTGTCTTGCCCCTTTCTTTCTTCTTTTCTGTACGTGTTAGGAAGCTTATCTAGTTGATCTAAGTCTAAAATATGGTATCTAGTTGTATCGTTTTCATTGTCATCTTCTAAAGTAGTTTATTGTTAAACCTACCATTTTCTTCATAATCCTGAGACTTTCTTTCCTCAAAATAGAATTTACGAAGACTTTCTTTGTTTTGGGAATTTCGGTCAGGTGCTTTCTCGAATTTCTGAAGTTGGTCGGGAGTAATGATTCTATCAATGCAGGCGACAGGTAATGTTGAAGGTATGAAATGACATTTAGTAATAAAAGGATGCTCTCTGACCTGCTTTAAAGTGAGTCTATCTTTAGGATCATATTTTAAAATGCTATCAATCAAATGTTTTGCCTCAACACTGATAGGGAATCCCTCTGGGTAATCATATTCTATCCTCTGAATTTTGTAATACGTAGTTTTAACTTCTCTAGTTTCAAATGGAGGCCTTCCTGCAATCATGGCATAGAGTACAACTCCAATAGCCCAAGTATCAATTTCAAACGAATAGCCTTCTTTAGAGTTCATCAAAACTTCAGGTGCAATATAGTTAGGTGTTCCTCAAAGTGTCATCTTTCTTTCCTCATTAGTTGACAGAGAGGTTGCTAAACCAAAATCTCCTATCTTTATCTCCATATTTTCATTAAGAAAGAGGTTCCCAAGCTTTAAATCTCTATGAATCACCTTTTTCTTTTTATGAAGATATTCCACTGCATCAATAATTTGGAGGAGGAAGTACTTAGCCTCTATTTCCTGAAGACAACCTCTCCTCTTGACAAGATCATTAAGAGTTTGGTTCGAACATAGTTCTAATAATACATACACATTGTCTTTGTCTTCAAAGAAATGAGTAAAGCCTACAATATGTTTATGATTAAGCGATTGATGGATTTTAATCTCAGACAATAAGTTTTGCTTTGATCTTGACTTATTTAAGAGACTTCTTTGAAAATACTTTTGCTGCATAGGATTGTCCTGTCTTCCTTTCTATCAGTTCGTATCATTTGGCAAACCCTCCTTTACCAAGGAATCTCCCTAGCGGAATAAATTAATAAGAATTACCTTTAGTGTACATCCTAGTTGAAGCTACTCTATTCCCTTCCTACAAAATAAAATAAAACCTTTACTTCATCATGAGAGTAATATTTCTCAATAATAGTCTCCTTCTTTATATTAACAAAGAGGTCTTGAGAACTTGAGGGAGTATATGATTCCATAATTTAAATTTTTATTAAGAATGTCAATAATCTATTCTAAAATCGGGGTTTTGGGGTTTTGGGGTTTTGGGGTTTTGGGGTTTTGGGGTTTTGGGG